CTAGATGTGTATAAGAGACAGGTCTAGCCCTGCTCGCCAGAAAGACCCCCCCCTTCACTACAACCCATGTCTAAGAAAAAGCTTGTCGAGGAGCGAGGGGAAGAAGGGAGAGTGTGGACAACAGCAATGGTCTCGTATCTTTCCGATTGCGCGGCGTCCAAGATCCAAGAATGCTCCTTCCTTACGTACTTCCAGCAGTAGACCCAATGCATGGAGGACGGCCAAAGTAGATAGCTTCCGAGAGCCAGTTTAACAAGAGTGCTAGGGCAAGGGCATATCTGCTTGGAATCGTCTGCTGTGGTAATCTCGGGACGCGCACGCACGCGTGTTGTTGCTCGTGCTTTACTCCGGGGTTCCCACGTTGATGACACGAAAATTTTGGACCTGGTGTTGCATATTCTATACATAATACTGCTGTTGTCACATTCGGATGAAGACAGCAGGTAGCGCCAACCAACTTGCTTGTACCCTCGGCGGTCACCATAGGTGTATCAGATATGCCGGCCTATGACCTATGCGTTCTACCTGGTACAGTCGGGTTGGTCGCGCTCTCTTGCCATCATGAACGATACAAGAGAGGGGGATACAACACACAGCACAATGTGAGGGGGGCGCGCTGAAGAAAATCTTGGGGCTCCGTGTCACTTTCTTGCCTAACTCCTCCCCCTCCACCTGACAGCTCGTGGGCCCCCCTTGCCATCGCCAGGCGCACGTGTAGAGCGCAACATCTTGAGAGCGACAGAGAGCAAAGAGAGTGGGCGCGATCTTGCAACCCCACAGTCACCCCTCCTTCATCGACACTTCTTGAAGCTCGAAGAGTTGGCGACATGTTGGCCAGGGCTACCGCCGTCCTGGCGGCGTTGCATACATTGGATACGCCGCTGCGACAAACGCACGCGTTCGTACCCTCGACGCTGCCTCTCCGGGCTGCTGGTGGTGCCACGCAGCAGCAAGTTCCCTCTGCTCTCGACCTTGGGACGGTGAATGCCAGGTTAGAGAGGAAGAGAGAACTTGTGTGCAGTAGTGTGTTGGCAGCAGCAGTGCTCAATGCAAACGTGTGTGTGGCAGGGAAACGGGGTGTGCGTGCCATATGGGAAATCTCATGATGCGCGTTGTTCTGGCTAGTCGAGATGCAGGTCTCCTGGGCAGAAAACGCTGCTGGCTGCTGGCTGTAGAAATGTGTTCGGAAGGCATATACATAAAACGGAGCTCAACACCCTTGCTATCGGTGCCTCTCTTGCTGTTTCGGCTGCTCATGGCACAGGCAATAGCCGTACCTGCGCCCCACAACGCATAGCTTTGCTGCTGTCGTCCTCCAAAAACTGTAGTCGCGCATGTATTCCCCACCGCCCTTGCTGCCGGTGCGGGCTCCGCCAGGAGGCATGCAGCTGCCCCGACCATGCGCGTGGAGCGGGGCGCCGGCGGGGAAGTGGGTGCGCTCAAGGCGACCGTCGCGCCACCCGCTACGGAGCAGGAACAAGAGGTGATGCGGCCCCCATCCGAAATCAAGTGGGCAGAGGTGAGGAAGTGTTTGTGGCCGTGTGCTGACAGCAGTACATCACCAACAGCAACGTAGGTTGCTGTGGTTGGTACACATGTGTTGACATGCGGACTAAATAGAGGACATTTGCCTACACTGCAGAAGGAGAGTATATTCTCCCGCAGGTGTCGTTAAACTCGACACAATAGTTGTTGTCTGTGGAAGAAGAGCATGAAACTTGTTGCGTTTTCGTGCAAAAAAATAGGTTCCCACATCAGGATCCGGTTGCTCGCCTCGCGAGGGGGCACCGGTAGGTGACACAAGATACCACGCCACAGGAGCGATTTCCAAAGCTCGATTACTCCACGGAGAAGACGATGCATAAATGAAACGAAGAGTTTTCGGAAAGCTCTCGACGAGACAGTTACCGCCACCGTTTTCGGCGCTGCAGCGCTTTAATGGTGTGGAGAAATCGAGCTGTAGAATGAGTTTCAGGGGGGTGGTGTCTTACGTCACCGACGGTAGCCTGGTGCATCGTACAGGTTTCATGAACAATATCCCAAACCGAAAGGAAAGTGCCCCTGCGCAGAGGGTAGTTTCTGGTTGACGAGATGGTTTTTCGCCGTACTCGTTTCGGCCGCAGAATGTTGCTCCCCAGGCAAGAAAATGATCGCTCGCTGTTCGCCCGAAGTTTTCAGGAAAATAGCGTAAAAACTAGCGTTGGGAATAGGTTCCAATTCATCGATTGAATCGGACCGATTGAAATCGAAGTTGGAATCGGAAAATTGGGGCGATGTTTTCCGATGTTTCACCGATGTTTGCGTTGTACCGTTTGTTGGCCATACGAAGCGGGTGGTGGCATCCCAGTGCTTGTGGAGGGGTTCCCTTATGCGTTGAGTACGTATACGATGCTTTGTGAAGCGCTCTGCCCTCTGACGTGCTGTTGCAGTGAGGTACAGGATTCACACACACGCAACCCCCTACTATGCGGGGTCCCATTCTGTAGCTCTTGCCTACATCAATCCCCCCGCTGTTTCTCTTCTGCGCGGAGGGGATGCACACGCGCCGCGTGCCATCCCACAGCGCCCCTATCATGAGCGCATCCAATTGATCTTCGACCTCCACCGGCCCGACCTCCACCGGCCCGGGGGGTGGCGCCAGGAGTGTGGCGGTGGCGGTGGCGGTGGCTGCAAGCGACCAAAACGCAAAAGAAGCTGAACTCGCGGCCAAAATTGATCGCCTTGAGAACATGCAGAAGAAGACAAAGCCTGATGCCGGGACTCATGCTGTGTGGGCGCTTGGCATCTACAAGGCATACGTACCTCGCGACTTCCGAAACGTCGCTGTGTGCTCGTTGTGCATCAAGAATAACCACCTGTCAAACGCCGAGGTCAAGTTCAAAGGGGGGTCTCCCACCAACTTGGTGAATCATCTCAACACAGCGCTGGCGGGGCACCGGAAGCTTACCAGCGCCTTCGTACCGCTTCCAGCAGCAAAAGCGATGGCTCGCACGGCGGTGACATCAGGCGTTTCACGACAGAAGACACGAGCGATTTTCGTCGAGAAGCTCAGCCGGTTCATCATAATGACCAACCAACCGCTTTCGGTGAGTCGTTTGTTGTTTTTATTCTGCTCTCTTTGATTGAATGTGTTGAACTTTGATTATTTTCATTTATTTTTTTCTCTGCAGCACTCTGCTCTGTACTTGGTCGGCACACAACAAATCTCTAGCTACAAATCTCCCTCGGCTGCCACCTCCCTTCGACCTGCTACTACTCTCATGTTTATTTTTAGTGTTTAGTATCGTTTTCACCTCTCTAACCGCTCCTGGGTGCAATGGTTCCACTTATCAAGAAATTCGACTTCGACGTTCATATCACCCAATCATTCAGCCACAAGAGGGGTTGCCGACGCTGTTTCATTTGACTGATATTTTCCCCTGTACGCTTGTTTGGCTGCTGTCCTCACCCTCCGCTACCCACAAAACCTCAGATGGTGGAGAACAAGCACTTCATCGAGATGGTACGATCTCTGAAATCCAGGGCTACTGTGCCTCACAAACGCCTCTTTCTCGCGAAGCTACGCGGAATGAAGAAAGGACTGGATCAGAAGTACTTCGGAGGCTGACTGGCGAGCACGTTGCCGTCACCTCTGACGGATGGACATCGGCCAGCAACGACACGTACATGTCCTTCACCTGCGCCTGCATCTCATCCAACTTCGACCTGGTGGCCCTTTGTTTGGAATGCAAGAAGCATGGAGGGCGCACGACGGGTGAGCATCTCGTGGAAGCCGTGAAAGCCATGATTGCCCGAAATGGTCTGACGGGTCGTACCGTGGCAATCACGGCGGATTGCGAGCCGTCCATGGTGAAGGCGGGCAGTCTCCTCGAGGAAAAAGGCGTTACCCACCTGGGGTGCTTCTGCCACCGCCTCGAGTCGATCACATCTCAAGCATTCGGCGGCCCGGGCGTGTCGAAGGCGCTGGCTCTTGCACGTGGCGTCGTGACGCGCTACACCATGTCTAGCCAGACCTCCGATCGTTTGGAACAGCTATGTGACATCGTGCAAGTGGAGAGGAAGAAGGCCGTGCAGGATGTCGAAACGAGGTGGTGGTCGACGTATGCGTCCATCTGCCGCCTTCTCTCCCTTCGCCGGCCCATTACAGAGCACGAGAAAATTGAAAACATCCCTCCCTTACTTAAGGAGAAGAACTGGGAGGTGCTTCAGCCGGTGGAGCCGCTGTTGAAGCCGTTTATGACGGCGCAGAAACACCTTAAGGCGTCCAAGGACGTCACTGTGAGCTTGGTGATCCCG